ATGATTGATATTTAAATTTTAATTTAGAAGTTACCTGAGTAAACATAAACGAACTTACTTTCTAATAATTAATGTAATTGATAAAAATATTATTTAGCAATGATTGATAGTTAAATTTTAATTTAAAAGTTAATAAATGAATAACTTAATCGAACTTACTCCCTTGATAATTAATGTAATCGATTAAAATATTATTTAGCAATGATTGATAAATTTAATTTAAAAGTTAATAAATTCATAAACATAATTAAACTTACGCTCTAATAGTTAAAATATTGATTGATATTTAAATTTTAATTTAAAAGTTAATAAATGAATAAATGTAATCGAACTTACGTTCTAATTGTTAAAATATTATTTAGCAATGATTGATATTAAATTTTAATTTAAAAGTTAAACATAATCGAACTTACATCCTAATAGTTAATGTAATAATATTTAGCAATGATTGATATTTAAATTTTAATTTAAAAGTTAAATATAATCAAACTTACTCCCTAATAGTTAATGTAATTGATAAAAATAATATTTAGCAATGATTGATATTTAAATTTTAATTTAAAAGTTAATATATGAATAAACGTAATCGAACTTACGCTCTAATAGTTAAAATATTATTTAGCAATGATTGATATTTAAAAGTTAAATATAATCAAACTTACTCCCTAATAGTTAATATAATTGATTAAAATATTATTTAGCAATGATTATTATTTTATTAAAAGTTAATAAATGAATAAACATAATCAAACTTACATTCTAATAGTTAATTTTGATTAAATATTGTTTAGCAATGATTGATATTTTATTAATAGTTAATTTAAAATATTATTTAGCAATAATTGATATTTAATTCGTAATCCGCGTGGGAACTATAGAAATATCAGAAATATCATATTAAAATTTGACTTTTTTGTAATCTGAATATTCCTGAATAATTTATTTTTTTTATTAAGAAAACCTCATTTATGCTTCTAATAAAAGTTGTAAAGGCAAAATTTCTGGTAGTTAAAACACTAATATCGGTCTAGTGGATCGCGAGATACGAGCGTTTTAGTCTTCGCAGCTATATTTACTTTATTATATAGCTGCGAAGACTAAAGTGCTCATATCTCACGATCCACTGAGCCGATTTTAGCATTTTAACTACCATTATGACCAGAACTTTTTGTCTCTACAACTTTTTATTAGAAGCACAAATGAGTACTACTTAATAAAAAAAAAAAAATAAGTTATTCAGGAATCTTCAGATTCCAAAAAAGGCAAAAAATACATATCCCACTTTTTATTATGATATTTCTATAGTTCCCACGCGGGTCACGAATTAAATTTTAATTTAAAAGTTAAAAAAATAAATAAATAAATATAATCAAACTTACTCCCTAATATTTAATGTAATTTGATTAAAATATTACTTAATGATTAATATTAAATAAATGAATATACGTATTGAATTTACGAACTAGTTAATTTAATCGATTGAAATATTATTGGTGATATTTAAAGTTTTAATTTACGTAATAAATGTTTTCAAAAATATGGTACAATATTTGAGATGCTTAAAAATTACCCCTCGATGTCCTTCGTATTTACTGACAGTAGTAACATATTGAGATTCAAGGATTGAGTCTTGAGATATATATTCCGGATTCGCCACATTTTCTTGGTCAGCTCTTAACTCCTGTTTAATTTCCATCGCAAAGACTGATATAAAATAATAATAATAAAGTATGCCACTACTATAAGATACACCGATATGTCTAACATGATGGCAAAAGTTAGTAAAGGTAGGAATAAAAATAACCGATTAGTCTGGCAACTAGGATAATTTTTTAATTTTTTTTCTATACAGTATACGGGTTTTCATTTATAAAAACGCTTTATTTCATTGGCTAACTACCCAACAAAACCAAAATTTTTCGTTACACAACATTGTACTACATTCCAACCAATAGAATTACACGCATGTCTTAGCAAACCTCAAAGCAAACCAAAAATTCTTAAAACTTTGAGTAAAAATATCTTGACAACTACTTAGCTAAATTTGATGGATTTTTTTTATTTTAATTCTGCAGATTCGTAGAATTCAAATAAAAAAAATTTCATCGAATTTGGCCAGGTAATTGTCGAGATATCCTTGCAAAGTCTTAAAAAACAAATGTCTATAAAAATTTAAAACTTTGAAGATATCTCGACTCTCATTTGATTAAATTTCATGAAAATTTTTTTATTTTAATCTTACAGTTTATTACAATTCAAATAAAAAAATTTTAATCAAATCTGGCTAGGTAATTATCGAGATATCTTTGCTCAAAGTTAGTAAACAACCCAAAACGTCTATTAAAATTAAGGATGCGACAAATTTTTTTAAAACTTTGAGCGAAGATATCTCGACAACTATCGGACCAAATTCGATAAAATTTTCTTTATTGTAATCTTACAGATTATCAAAATTTAAATAATAAAAAAAATTCATCGAATTTGGCTAGGTAGTTATTGAGATAACTTTGCTCAAAGTTTTAAGAAAAATTGGCGCAGCTTTTATTTTGATAGATGTCGCATAATATAAATCGCAGATTTTAAAAAATTTATCGCGTAATTTCGCATAAATGGCCTTTTATAGAAAACAGAGTTCAAGGGCTGTCACCGCAGATTTTCGGTGCCCCACATCACTATTTGAGTTGTTTACACGTACTAACTTTGAGCAAAGATATCTTTATATGTTTTTTATTGCAATAATCTGTAGGATTAAAATAAAAAATTTCATAAAATTTAGTCAAGTGAGTTCAAAAGTTTTTAAAAATTTAAATTTTTATAAACGTTAAAGTTTTTTTAAGACTTTGTGCAAAGGTATCGCGACAATTACCCGGCCAAATTCGATGAAAATTTTTTTATTTGAATTCAACGAATCTGTAGAATTAAAATAAAAAAAATTCGTCAGTAGTTGTCAAGATATTTTTACTCAA